GGAGGGTGGGCAAGCACCGACTTCAGCCCAGGGGTGGCAGTCGCTGCGGGATCTCGCCTGTCTGGGCGGCAGGAGCGGGCCCAACTGGTGGCCCTCGCCCCATCTAGCGCGGCCTGAGGCAGGTGACCGTGCCATGCCTCTCACCGGGACCTTGTACCCCTTTGTGCCCTTTCTCGCCTGGTCTGCACCAACCCCCGCCAATCCCTTTGTCCCCCAAGTACTTCCCTTGTCCAGCTGCCAGCTTGACCCTACTCTTCCCCCTCTGTTCAGCTGTCTCTGGGTGTGTAACAAACCACCCAACCTCAGTGCTGTCCAACAACAGCGCTCCTGTGTTTCGCAGAGGGGCAGACCTGTTTGGGACACTTGATGGGTCCACAGCCGGATGGTGTCCTCTGTGGGTCAGGAACTCGGGGCACTCGGGAACAGCTCCTCTCTGCTTCTCTAGGTGCTGGCCTCCCGTGGGAAGACGTGAGTGGTGGGGCCGGCTCTGCAGGTCAGGCTGGAGCCATCCAGAGGCTTCTGCCCTGAGCGGGTGCACCCTCGGCATGAATGGCTGGGCTCACCTTGAGTGGTTGGCCAGGGCACCTGCACGCCCAGCTCCCGGAGCAGCCTGCCGGTCCAGCACACAGAGTGAAGCCTCTTGGAATCACCTGCCAGGTTGCCACATGCCGCCATGGCCACCCAAGTTTGTGGGTTGTGGGGACATGGACCCCACCTCACAATGGAAGATTGCCCAGAAGTTGCCTTCATCCCTCCTTCCCCTCCCTCCTCCCGTAACTTCCAAGTAAGAAGCAAGCTGGTTGCATCCTGCTGTTCATAGCAACCCTTAAACAACACCCAATCTCTCAAACCTTCCCCCACCCCATCAGCTCCTCCTCTCCTACCTCCCGCAGTCCACTTTCCATATTTCTGTTATCTGCATATTCATTAAAATATAGTGCCCCACCCCTTTTTGAGACAGGGTCTCACTGTGTCTCTGAGGCTAGAGTGCAGTGGTGCAATCTCAGCTCACAGCAGCCTTGACCTCCTGGGCTCAAGCGATCCTCCCACTTCAGCTTCTTGAGGAGCTGGGACTGTAGTCAGGCGTCACCATGCCGGGCTAATTTTTTGTATTTTTTTAATAGACTCAGGGTCTCACCATGTGGCCCAGGCTGGCATCGAACTCCTGGGTTCAAGTGATCCTCCCGCCTTGGCCTCCCAAAGTGCTGGGATTCTAGGCGTGAGCCACTGTGCCCGGCCAATAGTGCTCTTTTATGTATCATTCTGTTTCTCCAAGGCCTCCATAATTTTTATGTGTGTCTGTCTTGCTGTGCATCTAATGCTTTCCGTCTTTTCACTGCATGGCACCCCATCCTAGGCACATTCATCCAGCCAGTGGACGTTACCTAATATTCTAGTGTCCTGACGAGCTGGGACTTATGGGACACAGCAGTGAGCAAGACAGAAAGGGGCCCCCTTTCGTGGAGTTTACATGTTACTAGGCAGGGACAAACCAGTGAACACATAGTAACTTTGCTGATGGTGAGTGACGTGAAGAAGATGAGATGGGGGATGGAGGGAGGCTGGCTTCAGCTCCACAGTCTCTCTCTGGGGAGGCAACGGCTGGCCTGATCCATAAACAGGGTTCTTAGAAGGCAAGTGTTGGCAATGTTGGGAGAGACGCGTTCGGGACGCTTGATGGGTCCACAGCCAGATGGTGTCCTCTGTGGATCCAATTGAGGGACCGGCTCAATTGTGCAATTGAGGGGCAGGCTGGGATCTGCCGGACCCAGATGCTCCATATGCTACCACATCCATCTCGGCCCCTTCCAGAGAAGAATGGCCACTGCCTCACTTCTGTGTGACCCAACCACAGAGGCAAAGGTTCTGGGAAACGGGTCTCCAGCTTGGAATAAGAGGACAACCTGGCAGGACCCTCCTCTTGACAACTCAGCACACACGCACGCGTCTCTTAAAAACCACATTTAACTTCCGAATAAAGC